GATACTCAGAGGCCGGAAGCCTGCTCGACCAGTGACTCCGCCCATTGCGGATGCTTTATGGGATTTCATGCAGAAGTGCTGGCTTGATGAACCGGAACACAGACCTTCAGCCAAGGAAGTCCTGGTATTTATACAGGGACAGCTGAAACTGCCATAGGAAAGCTCCCGACTCTCATGCAACTCGTGATACCATGACATGCCAATTTTGTGCTGTATTCTCCGTCTTTTCTGTACAATATACTGTTTACAATATCTCATACGTTAATATCACTCACTCCTGCTACTCCCAGGCTTAGAGTGACACAGATTTCCTCGATATAGGCTCGCAGTTTGTAGTTGTTTTTTCGCAATGAATGGATAGTAGTAGATACATGATATGCTACACCAGCCTTGAATGACATATAGCAGTATTTAGTCCTACTGTTGTAGTATTTTATATAGTTGTATTATCATCCATTGTTCCTGACTCAGTCACAAATAATTAAATACTTAAGACTCAGATAAAGCTATCCTAAGACTCCTCTGATACAAGTTCTTTATCACCTCCGTGAGCAGGACGTCAGTCGTTCGTAAGTAACATGTTAATCAAGCTAAATGAAGATACTTGTATATAAGGAGCCACAACCGCAATCCAAGCCCAAAGCGTACCGTGACATACATCACTTGAGCTAGTCGGACAGGGGAGAGTGGACCCTTGCCAGTTCGTCTTCCACAAAGGAAGCAGCATCCCCAGTGGAAGGACGAGCCTCAGGCTTAGCTGACCAACACTTCCGCATGAAATCCAAATGCTGGTGGCTAACAGTCACACTGGGTTCGACCCGATATGGCTCTACGCGCTTGGACTGAGCAGTGAATATCTGCCGAACATTTTTAAGCCACCAGAAGGGAGGTCTACCCGAGAAGACCTGTACGATGCAAGATTCAGGTGAAACTCAAACAGGGTCTGGCATACGCGACTCACCTGTAGCATGATACAACCGAGCGAAAATATATCGCTCTGACTGTTCGGTTTCGGTAAGTCAGCATCGCTGTCATCGTCATCCGCAGTGCTTCCTGTATCCGGTGAGCCGATCAATTCAGGCGCTAACCACCGGATAGCGCCACTCGAATACGTGTTGTAGTACGATCTGTCACTCTCTGCGAGAGCCACGGAGAGACCGAAATCTGCCAAAAATGCATTGCCATCCCGGTCGATCACAACGTTTGTCTTCAATTATAGAGTTAGTAAGAACTCCAAGGCATCGAACAGTACATACACTGGTCAGGTCCCCGTGAATTACTCCCTGTTCATGAACTAGAGAGGCTGTCAGAGAGAAAACGTATTCGGAACAGCAATCCCATACGATATCTCAAGCCATCCACCACCTGTTTCAACTAAATAAGGGCATCCATTGAGTAGGGACTTGTGTTTGGCATGATAAATCTCACCAGCTTCAGTTTCTGTTCCATGGTGAGGCTCGTGCGCTCCAGGTAGCCGTCAAGTGCCCCATTATGCATCCATTTAGAAACAAGAGCAGGTAGTTGTCCAAAACCGGAGACCATGCCGTAGAGAATGAGAACATGCGCATGCCTCAGTTTGATCCACACGGCTACTTCGCGGCGAAGTCTCTGAGAGCGGACATTCAATGAACTTCACATTACAGAAAAATTGTTAGCATACCCTTTTCGCTTTTTTGACGGCTTGTTCGTTGCGTATGTCCGCTATCCTTATAGTTTTGACAGCAACCTGTCCAACAAATATTAGTTGGCGAGATTCGCAGGGTAACATCATATGTACCTCAGTAGAGGTTGCCGGATCGATGATCATTGAGCACCTCCAGATATCGCCCAAGCCTCCGGATGACGTAGCATGATCTAATTGCTTCCTGATAGATGTAGACGGAATGGCAAATGGGTCCGCATCGAAGGCCACCCTGAGTCCATGCCTTGTGTTTTGATATCTGCAGTTTACTATCAGGAAATTTGCACTTACGGCTGCACTTCATTTGTACCAGGGGTAACCGGCTGTGGTATAGTCACCGCTCCACTGTTATCTCGTGAGGAAGCGACTCATAACTCAGAGCTGCGTGAAATACTTGCGGTGCAAGATTTTCATGGACAGTCTTGGATGGTATAGGAAGATCGAACTGCACCTGGACATGTGATGCAGATGTTTGAAATGATGCATCTCTGTAGCATGCATGTTCAGTGCTGTCCATCATGATATGGTGATTAAGCATACGGATGCAGAGTAGTGATATTGGATACCGGCACTGGTACAACTCTGGGTGTGATTATCGTTGACGGGCGGCTGTCATAACATGAGAGATCATTTCTTCTTCATGATCCTTGGTTGAAAGCTCACGTTGTGGAATTTGCGGAGGCGGCAGTGTTGTCTACGGAATTGCCATTGGCATTTTCGATCTGTCAACATAATGGCAAGGTCAGTGATTGAATCTAATGACGGAGACAATTAATGCCCCACAATTTGAGTCTGCCGCTGGGGCTTTTGAAATGATGACGCGCAACAACCCATGGTAATGAGCCTTCTATTAGTACAAACGGAAGTCTGCGTTGCGCTGAATCGAAGGGGCAGCAGGAATGAGTGGGTCTAAGAACAGCTGACCGCGCCTATTAAATATTGGAACTGTGAAGCCCCCATACCCACCAACTAAATTACAAAGCGCCTGAGTGTGTGGAAGAAATTAGCGCTTAAACCGCATGCGGCGATCGAAAAACGGTCGAAAGCACTGGCAATTGCATGCCTAAACTGCGTTGTTCACGACATCTACCATGCCGGTGCGATGGATGGCCTCATCCAAACTTCATCATGATCCAGTCACTAATAAGTATGTCCCTGGAGCATCTTCGATTGATCCTATGACTCGGAGGTCTGTGGTAGATTCCATCAATCAATTTGGACCTCAATTACAGGTTCGGTTCGAGTGAGGTTGCACCGGAAATCGTTCGTTCTGGGCGCAAGCCACAGCAAAAACGTTTCGAGATCAAATTGACGAAAGGAGTAAAAACTTGAACTCAGGACACATTGTTCACGTCATTTACTAGTGGTAACATGTAGCATTTTTTTGTTTGAATATGCAGGACGGACGTTATTATTTGCTGGAGATATGTAGTCTAAGTGGTAGTGAAATGAAACCAGGGTGGGGTACATGTAAGTGGGAAGCAAGCAAGTCAACAGACAGACCGGACTATGATGCACGCTGCAGTAAACTGTTGTACGTGCATCATCGCATTCAGAACCAGTCACCGCATTTTAAGTTACTACTCGGAGTGGATGAATTCCAAGATTCAGTTACAGTGGAGCAGGGTCAAGCTGCCACTTGAGGCTGTGATCTCTGTCCTTCGATCGAGACCTACAATCAAGCTATCGCTGTGCTCACGACTCACGAGTTCCTCTAAGCGACACTCCTAGACGATTGGAATGACTGGAGCATGGTCGTTTGCCGACTCGCAATTGTGGGTAGTGCCATATTGATAAATTCAAATTAAACTATGTCACTGTGAATGCTTGTCAAGTTGTGGATGTCCTGTGTAAGGTATCTGGGTTTCAAATTTCTTTGGATCAATGCAACATGAGAACTTCGAGAAGAGTCGTCAGAAGCGTGTCCGACGATGATGACGACGGTTCAACGTTCAACGTCCAGGTCTGTTATTCATGACCGTCTTTCTCCCGCTCCCACACCTCAACTGAAAATACCGTGTCTGCTCACTGACTATGCAAATGTCGGATTCGGGCTCTGACGCGGAAATGGAGGTCGATGAGGTGAATCAGAAACTTCAAGACGAAAACGATGATAATGAGGCGGAGGAGGAGAAACTAAAGCCTGAGGACGAGGAAGAAGAACCTGAACATGAACAAGAGGTGTGTCGATACCATCTACTTCTGGTTATTAGCATACTGATTCTATGCGCTCAGGATGTTCCAGAGTCTGAGGAGGCTTCTCCTCCTCCGTCTCCTCCCAAGCAGCCCTGTCTTAAGATCAAACTCAAGCTACCGAGCGTGCCCAGCACTGAAGATACTGGATCGCGTGGCTGTTCTGGTGGTGTGTTCTGCGTGGTCTCTCCTCGCGCGCGCGACTGATTGTTGGGCTTATGACGCGTAGATATCGATGTAGAGTCAGAAGATGAAGATGATGAAGGGGAGGCGGTGGGCTCCACGCGCCCGATGACTTCCCGCCAAGTGGTTCTCGCGAGTGTTGTAGGTTCTCTACTCGTCCGAAAATTTTGGGTTCACAGACGTTGCGGTACGATGAAATCGCGAGTCACTACAAAGCAGATGACTGCTTATTGTTTGTTCCGCCACGGTATCGATATAAAACAGGAGTGCATGCAAACTACACACATCAGAACGATATGGCTCGGACTGCCAGGTCATCGATGGACACTTATTCAGTGGTTAGCTCTTCCGATGCGACCGAGGATGACTTGAAAGGTAAAGTTACATCATTTTGCTGGCCGTCAGACTCACTCTATCCTTAGCTTGCGTGCATTCTTCTGGCCTCCGTCCCCATTAACATTCTCATTTGGTGATGAATCCCGACAGTTTCTGTCTGTCTGTCAAGAATCTAGGTTCTGAGATGACCCTCGCGAGGCGTGAACCCTTTTCATGGACAGACTATCACATAAAAAGGAGATTTCGGGGTAACGACTGGGCCTAGTTAAGATGGACCTCCAAGGATCTATGCACCGCAAAAATGTTGTTAGCAGGTTTCGAGTCAACTCCAACTTGAAGAGAAACAGATTGTGACTCTGTTGTGGTAGCCACTTGGCTAACTCCAGTTAGATGGATGTCCGAGGAAACCACCCATGAGTCAATGTTAAGGCGTGTTCCGATAGAGAAAAACTGTTGTTCAGCATATTACTAACATGCACAGTCCAAGATGTCTCGAGAGTAACAGATTTTCAATCTAGTAGCCACTTGGCTAAGACCAGTCAGGACGAACCTCCGACAAAACCATCCATGAGTGGATATCAAGGTGTGTTTTGATAGAAAAAACCTCATCCATCGGCAGGTTTCGAACCTGCGCAGTCCAACAGAAACAGATTTCAATTCTGTTGTGATAACCACTTCAAAGCACTTTGGCCAGAACGCTTCCGAAGTTGAGATGAAATGTCCGAAGGTCAAAAGGGAAATTCAATTATTGGCACACTTACCACTTGGCTAAGACTGGTCAAGATGGACGGAAGAACAACAATAGAATCATATGCATCATCCACGGCCAGTCCCGAATTCGGAATTCGCACAGCTTAGTTAGCAACTTGCCAATGTAGCCGAAGTCAGACTGCTAGACTTGCATCCATAGCCTGCTCACTGTGTCTCACGGCATCGAGTCATTTGGCCATGTCCATCGTGCTCTGATAATCCAATATAGCTAGCAAAGATGATCGATGATCCGCGGAGTTGTAACGAATTCGTGGTATCCAGATTCTAGACAAAAACAGGGATATCAAGTGACACACCGCAGGGTCATGCTCATTGCAGAGGCAGCCTGGTTTTTTCATGATGAAGGAACAGAGCGTATCACGAGTGCTTGACGCGGTCTGTAGCAGGTGTGAATCCGAAGTACTACCGTATTACGGCTGTGACGGACCGGGTACTTCCCAAATCGTTTCTTGCAGGGTTGAGTCGGTTGACAATGAACGTGTGAGTAGATATCACTGAAATTCTCGGGATTGGTGCTTATCTCTAGTTCTCTCCTCTTTACCACCTGTAGACAATGAGGACATTAACCGCGCTGTATGCGTTCCTTCCTGTTCTCTTTGCATCTGCTGCGGTCTTCGATCAGCCGCCACCTCAGGATGTACTCCGCAGACCCACCGTCGATACCCTAACTGACCGTGACGCTATCATAGAGTCGCTGCTCGCTACCCACGCGGGTGATCCTGTACAGGTTATGCGTCTTTTAGATCCAGAAAACGCGTCAGAACTCGATGCGCCACGGTTGTTGCAAGTCTTTGGGTCCGAGGCAGTATGGATGACCGAAGGCGATAAGCTACGCCTTCGACAGCAGGGCCTCGGGTTCATCGACCTCACCGATCATCAAGATTTGCATGCATGTCACGTGTCTGCTGAATCAAGTCTGTGCTCCTCGTACTTCTCTTTTCTATCCTAACTGAGAGTCGAATAATAGTATGGCCTAAACTACAATATCAAGAGAAGGTGACGTCGGTCACCAAGCTTCTGAGCAAGGACGAGATGAAGAACAACTTGGGGAACTTGACTTCGTTCCACAACCGGTATTATCGCTCGGAGTTTGGTGTCCAGAGTTCACGCTGGTTGTATAATCAGATTCTGGACGTTAGTGTGATCACATTGAACTTTTCGAACTCGTGTATTCAATCCGCTTGTGCAGATTATCTCTACTGCCCCTCCTGGTGTCCGTCTCTCGGTCGAGACATTCACTCACACGTTCCCCCAGCCCAGCGTCATTGCTCGCTTTGAGCCGTTCTTTGGACGTTCTTCTCCCAATCCAACGATAGCCCTTCCTCGCATCATCGTTGGCGCTCACCAAGACTCCGCAAATTACCGCTTCCCATTACTCCCTGCACCTGGAGCAGACGATGACGGCTCAGGAACGGTCACAATCCTCGAGGCGTTCAGAGCTCTCGTCCAATCTGGATTCGCGCCAGAACGCCCGGTCGAGTTCCACTGGTATGCTGGGGAAGAAGGTGGTTTGCTAGGAAGTCAGGAGGTCGTGTCTGAGTACACGCAACTGAAGAAGGAAGTGGGCGCCATGATCCAGTTTGTGAGCATAAGAGTCATCCATCTATTAAGAATTGAGAATTAACTGAATGCTAGGATATGACTGCATACGTACCAAAGGGAGAAGTTCCCATTGTAACTTTTATCACGACGGACGTTGATTCGAATCTGACGAACTGGGCGATGACGCTTGCAGAAGCGTACAGCACGTCTGTTGTGGGCGGTGCGAAGCTCTTGTAAGTGCAGTATCACAGTTCTCGTAGTGTTCTTGACTGAGCCTGTTGTAAGTGCTGGTGCAGGCTCAGACCACATGTCATGGCACAGAGCGGGATTCCCTGCCATATTTGCGGCAGAGGGTGATCCGTTCAGGACGTTCAACCCGTACATCCACACTTCGGGAGACAGGATTGACCTTGCCGACGGAGAGTTTTCATTTGAGGTAAGATATTTTTCACCGATATACATTACGTCGTATCATTGACCATGGAATACAAACAGCATGCTCTCGAATTCGCGAAGGTTGCTGTTGGGTTCGTTGTTGAGCTCGGTGGATGGGTCCAATAACTTCGTAGCGATGGAGTCAGAGCCACCAGCCCGGGCGTACGGACCAACGATATAATCAAACCTACGGAGATCCCTATGTTCAATCTCCTCACGTTACTACTTAGAAGCATGAAGATTTTGTTGATCATCAGACGAACCAATGATTCACAAGCCAAGAGGTTATAAAACACTCATAAAGTCGGAAATCAGATTGCAGCACGATCTACGTTGTAAGTTTATTGTCTATCGACGTAGCAGCGTCACCCAACTCGAACCATGTTAGTACGAAAGGGTTATGGTTTTATCGTACTTGTCAAATCGTTAGATTATAAAATGTTTCCCAAGTGTCCATATAGTACATGTTCAGCAGACATAGTAACTCCGGTCAAAAAAGTACCGCAGCAATGTGTTGCCAGAAACCTTTCGGAGGGATCTCAGGACGTTCGGTTTCCTCAATGCTGGGAATACCCTGATTAATTGCAGGTGAGTCTGAGTCCCAGGTAAGTTGACATATCCTATGCATGTAATTTGACGGACACAAAACATACCGGGGACTGGCGCCGTAAGAAATTCCTTTTACAGAAAAACCATCCTTGCAGTAAAACCGTCAAGTCTGCAAACTGTACATTGTGAAATCATGGTAGTCTCAGCGTCCGACATACGCAGCGCCTTATCTTTACCAAACTCTTCAATCCGCCACACCAGCTCCTCGAAAGTCTCAAGGGCAAGTTACGAAAAAACCTGAGGGCATTTCTCGAGAGCTCTATGCACTTATTGGACCCTCCACACCTTTTTTTGTATGTTATATATTTATATATAGGAGCCACAACTGCAGTCCAAGTCCAAAGCGTACCGTGACATACATTGCTGAGCTAGTCGGACTGGGGAGAGGGGACTCTTGCCAATTCGTCTTCCACAAAAGAGGCAGCGTCCCCAGTGGAAAGACGAACCTCCGGCTTGGCTGACCAACACTTCCGCATGAAATCCAAATGTTGGTGGCTAATGGTCACACTTGGTTCGAGCTGATATGGCTCTACGCGCTTGAACCGAGCACTGAATAGCTGTCGAACATTTCTAAGCCACCAGAAGGGAGGTCTACCCGAGAAGACCTGTACGATGCAAGATTCAGGTGAAGCTCGAACAGGGTCTAGCATACGCGACTCACATGTAGCATGATGCAACCGAGCGAAAATACATCGCTGTGACCGTTCGGTTTCTGGAAGTCGAGATCGCTGTGACTGTTATCCAGATTGCTTTCTGGTTCCAGTGAGCCGATCAACTCGGGCGCTAACCACCGTACAGCACCACTCGCAAACGAGTTGTAGTACGATCTGTCACCTTCTGCGAGAGCCACGGAGAGACCGAAATCCGCCAAAAATGCATTGCCATCGCGATCGATCAGAACATTCGTCTTCAATTATAGAGTTGGTGAGGACTCCAAAGCATCGAACAGTACATACACTGGTCAGGTCCCCGTGAATTACTCCCTCTTCATGAACTAGAGAAGTTGTCAGAGAGAAAACGTATTCGGAATGGTGATTCCATACGATATTTCAAGCCATCCACCACCTGTTTCAACTAGATAAGGGCATCCATTGAGTAAGGACTTGTATTTGGCATTGTAAATCTCACCAGCTTCAGTTTCTGTTCCATAGTGAGGCTCGTGCGCTCCAGGTAGCCATCAAGTGCCCCATTATGCATCCATTTAGAAACAAGAGCAGGTAATGGTCCAAAGCCGGAGACTGTGCCGTGAAGGGTTAGAACATGCGCATGCCTCAGTCTGATCCACACGGCTACTTCACGACGAAGTCTCTGCGAGTGGGCATTTAATGCACTTCATATCACGGAATAAATGTTAGCATACCTTCTTCGCTCTTTCGATAGCTTGTTCATTGCGTATGTCCGTTATCCTGATAGATTTGACAGCAACCTGTCCGACAGATATTAGTCGGCAAGATTTGCAGGGTAACATCATATGTACCTCAGTAGAGGTTGCTGGATCGATGGTCATTGAGCACTTCCAGATATCGCCCAAGTCACCAGATGACGTAGAATGTTCTGTTTGCCTCTCGATGGATGTAGACGGGATGGCAAATGGGTCCACATCGAAGGCCACTCTGTGTCTCATCTTTTTACATCTGCAATTTATGAGGAAATTTGCTCTTACGGCTGCGTTTCATTTGTATCAGGGGTAACCGGCTGTGGTATAGTCACGGCCCCGCTGTTATCTCATGAGGAAGTGTCTTGTAACCGAGAGCTGCGCAAAATACTTACGGTGCAAGATCATCGTCTACGATGTTGGATGGTATGGAAAGGTCGAGTTGCACCTGGACTTGCGGTACAGATAGTTGAATCAGTGCATCTCCATTGCCTGCGTGTTCGGTGCTATCCACGGTGATCAGACATACGGCTACAGAGTAGTGATATCGAATACTGACACCGGTTCGACTGGTATCGTCAATGGGCGGCTGTCATAGCATGAGAGACCATTTCTTCATGATTCCCGGTTGAAAGCTCACGTTGAGGAATCTGCAGAGGCGGTAGTGTTGTCTACAGAATTGCCGTTGTCGTTTTCGATCTGTTGATGGCAAAGTCAGTGATTGAATCTAATGACTGAGACAATTAATGCCTCACAATTGGAGTCTCTGACCGCTGAAAACTTCGAAATACTGACACGCAGCCACCCATGGTAATGAGCCTACTATTAGTACAAAGGGAGGGCTGCGGTGTTGCGCTGAATCGAAGGGTCGACAGGAGTGAGCAGGTTCAAGAACAGCTGACCGCGCCTATTAAATAGTATTATGAAGCCCCCATACCCACCAACTAAATGTGCAAAGC